AAAAAAAGGACAGATCTGTCCGGAAAAAGGACAAAATGGCAGCACTGAATCCTTGTAAATAATTTACATTGTCAAATAAAATTTAACTTGGCGCTACTTTGTTATAGCTATTAAGTTAATTAAACGCCAAATGTATTCCCCAAGCGGATGTAGGCTCCTAGTTATTCTTCCATTGCTTTATCCAGAGTAGTGATTAAATAATACTCCCTCAGCGAGTACCTCGTAATCCCGTCATTATTATCCTTTCCCTGAACTAAGCCTCTTGCTGCTCGTGTTGATTGCAGTCGATTACAAAGCACTTGAGTGTAACTCTCCAGAGCGTTGACTCCTCTTTCGCTTCCTTCCACTCACTTCACCCTTTGTCAGACGGCATGAGTACATGAGTCCATCATTAAACTTTAGCTAAAGTCAAACAAAATTAAGAAAGCTGTGCTATCTTCGAGTGCTCTGGGCCACTTGGAACTAAGTAAAGCGAATTAAAAAGCACACGCTCAAGTTGCCAACGCACAGAAGTAGTAGAAGTAGAAGTGGAAAAGCAGGAAAGGCGGCTCCGATAAACATGTAAATGGAAGGAAGGAATATCCAGGGCAAGGATGGCTTCGAAACTGGAGCAGAGGAGCAGGGTCCTTAAAGGACACGGACATGGACATGGACATCGACATGGCTGGACGACTGGGCGAGCGTGTGTGCGGTCAGTGGTAAAGATTATCGATCGGTGATTTTTTTCAATTGAATTGTCTTCAATCTTATTGGTCGTGACCAAGTCGTTGCTTTTTATGTCCTCTTCCCTGGCCATGGGTCCTTCGTATCCCTCGTATCCCGACTGCCTTGCTTTGTTTGCGTTTTTCCCGCTGCAACTCCTGCTCCAGCCGTAGTCCTTCGGCACTTGCTCACGAAATTTAATAAGCACAGGACATGTTTGGTGTCGTTGCGTGCAAGGCGTCCATCAGCCAAAGGCAGCCGGGCTCATTAAACCGGTTTTTCCAGCTCGATTTTCCCGGCCACCGAAGCGCTGACTTTAAAGCTTTCCGTTTTTGGCCCCCCGAGCGAGTTATTGATTTCCTCCCTGAGCAAGATAAATAGTTCTGAGTGAAGAGTGTCCCATAACGAGGGATCTGCGAGATGTTGGGCAAAACCCTCTGCTAAATCCGAAACACCGGGGCACAAGACACACCGGGGAAAAACAATTAAAAAGGGTAACCCTAAACTGGGCCATAATTTGTAAATTGTTTGAACCCACGCCAGGGCAGACACAATATGGCCCAGAAACAACAAGAACAGGACACAAGTGTTACAGTTTTTTATTGTTGTTGTTTTGCGGAAAGACAACAAACAGAAATTAAAACACATGTGCATGCGACACAACCAACCAAACAAACAAACAAACCGAAAAACACATGCAAAATACATACAGCGCGTGTGACTCCTTTGGGGTATTTTCTTTTCGGTGGAGTAAATGAACCCAGCAAGCCAAAACAAATAATTACGCCCCAGAAAAAGCAACAACAATGAGGCCCGGTATAAAGCATAAATGTCGTCTGCTGTCCTTTCAGTCCTTTCCGTCCTGGTTTTCCCCCACCCCGCCTTTTTCCCGGCTTTCCCGCCATGTTGAATAAATGCTGACAATGGACGTGAAATTATGACAAACTCACATGTATATATGTGTTCAAGGATATATATCTGTGAGGCCATATATTCGTACAGCTGCTCCAGCAATTCATTCGTTGGCACTTGTGACTTTTGCGTTCTGGCCGCTTTATAGAGCTTATTATAAGCACAGGCAAAAAGGTTAATTGTGTTGAATAGAACAAGACCTCAAAGTATGAGTTGTAACTTTGTTGCCTAGGCATCACATCATACTGAAATCAATTGGGCCTGTAATTCATCTTAATTTTTTTAGCAATTCAATTTGGACATTTGTGATTATAAGTGACTTATTTTCTTTTTTTTTCAACGAAAAACACAATCAAATATGTGAGCAAAAGCCCACGCAAAAACTTCAATCATTGTCTGGCCCAAATTGATTTTCCCCGAAGTAAAAGTAAGCAAAGGTATAAAACCGAAATAAAAGCCAAGAGACACTTTGATTTGCAAGCTGTCAGAATGAACTTATCACCTTGGCGTCGTTGTTTATCAGCTAGAAAATGAAAACTGCCGCCTATATAATATAGGTATATATATATTTCGGTGTAGGTGTATGGAAATGGAAAAGCCTGACCAAGCATTTCGTTTCAATTTTCCCGCTGCTCGCACAGATTTATTTGCCTATTTCTGTGCGCTCTACCGACGAAAACGTGACGAAAAGCGTTTTCCCATTTTTCCCCCCACAAAAACAGAGATATGTACGGCAAAACGCCTGAATAGCTGACTGAAACCTGACATTGAGGAAATCTGAATGACTGGCCCACATTTGACACTGCAAACTTTTGCCAGGCCAAGGAAAATATTTTGCTGGACCTTTTTTATTACATTTAAATAATTTGATTGCAAGTGTAGGGTCCAAAGCATTTAAACTTGCCCCTGAGAACTGGAACTGGCCCTTTATCGGGAAACAGTTTTCAATTCAATTTAATTCACTTTGGGCCCTCTCTTTGAGTCTGTGTGTGTGGGCGTCTGATACTTTTTTATTTAATTTTTTCTGCACTCTCTTTTATTTCTTACAGCATAAAAATTTATTATCATAATAAGCGAGCAAAGGCCGATGAATCCTATACATTTTTTCCACCTCCCCTTATGCCACGTATGTATGCCGGCAGCAACCCTCGATGTTTTTTACGACTGTTTTGTTTTTGTTTCTGTTTTGATGGAAATTCGATATTTGCAACACGTATTGAATTTTGATCAGGCAATATGAAATATCTTTTTACCAGGCTTTTGCCTTAGCTTCCTTGGTTCCACTAGAGCATTGATTTAAAGCGAAAGCTGTGCTATTGATTTTACGGGCAATGTCCCAGAAAAACCCTCCCCGGAGAGAATGCCACTCGACAGCAGATGCGTATCTGCAAACAATTAAGAAATTGTTAAATGAAATTTCCCAAAAATTCCTCAACTAGGGCTTCCGATTTTTCCCACTACCCCCAATGATTTTCCCTCTAGATACACAAGTGTGGCATTGTTTCTTTGCTGGGTCTTGTAATTCTATTAGTTACAAGTTGTGCAGTGCGAAAGAGCTTTTTCTGTGGGAGCCACCTCGAATGGAAGCAAATTAAAAAACTTTGCAATTGCAGTCGATCGGGAGTGGAGTCCCTTTTCTGTCTTTTTAAATCGTTTCCCCCTTTTCGATGGCAATCGAAATCGAGTGTAGTTGATTTGGGAAATTCCGATACCGGTGAACGGAGCGGAGCTTCTCGATTTGTTTTACCACTATTTACTATTTACATCTCCGTGCAGCATGAAACTCTTGAGTTCGACTTGGCCTGGCATAAATGCCAAAAGCGTCATAGAAATCCACTCCAGACGCGTATAATGCTCGACTAGGTACGAGTGTGTTTCTGCTACCCTTCAAATGGAAACAGCCATCATTTAACCGCCAGACAGATAGACATGGAGACTGGGAGACCGGGAAGTCGGGTTTTGGAGGCGCTACGGATGATGATGGACCGAACTGAATGGCCAAAGGGGGGTGATTTGAATGGTACTTGCGTCGCTGCGCATTTGTGTGTCGGCTCATACCGTATATACTGTATAGAAAAACAAAAAGGGAAAAAAATAAAGCAAAAATGATTTATCACTCTGAGCTATGGTTTGTCCGTTGACTTTGACGGGCCGCCGCCGACCAAAACCCCATCCCCTCCTCCTGCGACGCCCCTGACAATGCGTGAGGATTACAAAACAGCAACTCATGTGCATGATGAATTAAATTAGCAAAAAGCCAGCTGGAAATGGAAGAGCAATCCCGCAATCCAGCAATCCCACAAACCATTTATCGACACAGTTTTCAGGTTTTTGTTTTAAAAAAGTTGTTCATTTCATTTGCATTGTTCGCTGGCGAAACAGAAAAATATCTTTGTTGTTTGTCGTAATCATACATAGATTTTTAGATGTATATATATAGTATATAAATAGTTGTATTCACAAAATTGAATTATCCATAGGTTATACAATATCGTAGAGCTGCGTTAGAACTAAACTTAGGGCTGACCGTCGTATATTACAAAATGATAAAAATAAATAACAGTTTTGGGCTTTCATACTGGTACAAGTGTCTTGTGTGAGGGGTGTCTTATTACTTTTTATTTTTTCTAACCCCGATTCCTTTGAATCTCAATAGTTTCGAACTGAGTTGCTTAATTAATGACGAGTAGGCGAGTGTGTGCTGAAATAAATGCTCTCTGTTCGTACGTTCTATAGGCAGTTGTTAAACATTTACTCGTATAATATATGCGTAGATATACGTAGAACTTTGCGGGCATACATATATTAATCCATATACCTCATACATAGTGGTTCTTTAATATCAGTAGTTTGCTTTACTTTACACAGTCACGTACATGCAGACACGCACATTGATATATCCATGAATGTACTCTATGTACTATATATAATTAGCTATGCATATTGTGTATGTGCCACGCCAGTTTGCGAAACTTTTATTACAATTATCGTTAGTTTTGGTAAGCGTAAGTGTTTAAAATGAGCTTTTCTCTTGCTGTTTCGGCTTTTGACTGCCTTATCTGCACACTGTTACTGTCATTACGATGTAGTTAACCACGGAAAATCTTCCCGGTTCTCTCGGTTTGCTAGCTAATTATTTATGCTTTTTACATACAGATTACAGATTACTTGACAAATGCATTTATCGATTTTACGATTTACGGCTGTGGCATACAATTTACATGTGTACTTGGATGTGATTATTGAATTATCCCCATACGGTTACGACTTCTGTATCTGTATCTATATAAAGGTGTTTCTGTATCTGTATCTGCTTGTGTGTATATCTATGTTTGGGCAGTAAATACGGAATTGAGAGCTATTTACAAATTGATGCAGGATGATGCAGGGGATGCGTAGATACATGGACAGCTATTCCGGCTTAATGGCAATTACCAAGTCAATTATTAAACAATCAATTTGGGGCACACTAAGTCTCTGGGGGATGCAAATGCAGCATGGCCCTCTGGAACCACGTCTCAACTCGGGAATCTTTATACTCGAGGTTCCAGAGTCCAACTGATTAAAACCGTATTAAAAAGTTATCACAAATTCCCCCCTCGGGCAATTCTCGGCTAAGCAAATGCCAGATGAAGGCCAAAAGTTCGTGCTCATGTGAGGGAGAAAACTAAGTTTGCTGTGGTAAAGTTTTGAAACTTTGAAATGGCATTGTAGTAGGTAACATCCCTCACTTTCTCCCCCCTGGATATACACACACACACACTTGACATGAGCGAGGCCCTCGTCATTCTGCATCTGTAGCTTGTATCTCGTATCTTGGGGCTGTGTTGTGTTTGTTTAGTGCATCTAAAATGACTTTACACTGGATAAACAAAATGATGTACGTTAAAATCTGGCTGGCTAGTCTCAACTTCCGCATCTCCTTTGTTTTGTGTTTCCCCTCCCTTAGCTTAACTCGCACATGTATTTTAGTAATTAAAATTATGCACAGGAACCAGTCCCCAAAGAAATCACTGTCACTCTCCCCGAAAAAGGGGTCGCTCCTTACACCAGATACGCCTGGACATGAGGTCCTTGTTGTTGTCCAGCAACGGCTGAAGGATTTTGTTGCTGCTGCTGCTGCTGCTGGCTCGCCTTGGAGCCCAGGGTTCCGGCCTGAGCCTGCTGGTGATGCAGCTGCTCCCGCTTGGGCCGCCAGGTCTGCGCCCTCTGGGCCGCCTCCATGCCAAGGGATCCCCCTCCTGCCCCCGGCATCATCAGCATGTGCTGCTCGTTGTCCAGGGTCGAGTAGTCCGAGTCGATGCTGGAGTATATGTGCTCCGAGGGCGGCCGCATCCCATGGTGCTGGTAGTACTGGGCGTTCAAGTGATGGTTTCCGGATCCTGAACCCGATCCTGATCCCTGTTGCTGCTCACCCCGCCTCTGGGGCCTGGGACTGGGCGTGGCCGTGGTGGCCGTGGAGTAGTTCTGTTCCGCCGGCACAGAGGCAGTCACAGCCAGGGCGGCAGCCTGAGGACCCACGACGTCCGCCGGTCCGCAGTAGGCGGGGGGCGGGGCCTGGCGGTAGAGCAGGCCGGGACTGGCCGGCTGCTTCACCCGCTCGTGGTTGTGATGGTCCAGCTCCAGCGTGTAGTTGTTGCCCCGGAAGGTGGGGTAGTCCACGGGCAGGGCGTAGCGCAGCTTCTCCCAGAAGTGCCGATCCGAGCGGCGGATGCGATGGACAGCCGACGTCTTTAGGTAGGGCAACAGCTCGATATCGCTCTCCGCCTCGAAGGCCACCTCGGGCTCCTCGATGATCACCAGTTTCTGGGGTCTGCCCCTCAGGGCATCGTGAACGGAGCGTCGCAGCTCACAGCGGGCCCACTCGGTTTGCAGGAAGTTCCTGGTCAGCAGGATGACCACTCGCCGTGAAACCCTCGTGGCCTCCAGTAGCTGATAGTGGGTGGCATCATGGGCCAAATCCCGATGCTGCAGGCAGACCCTCAGCGGGGGACGTCCCGTTTCCAGTTGGGCAGCCAGGTGCTGGCACACGAACTCCGAGTCCTTGGCGGAGTGCAGGAGCACGGCGTCGTACAGCTTCTCGGACTCCTCGCAACGTGGACCGAACACCCGAACGCCGTAGTGGGCAAACAGCCAGATCCTCAGGGACTCGCGGAAGGCGAAGACCATGGCGATGACGACGAGCAGGAAGACCAGAGCCAGTGCAGCGGCCAGCAGGGGAATATAGGATTCGGGAATGCCATGCTGCAGCATGGAGCCACCGGAGTAGTAATCCGTGCAGGCAGCTCCAGTGGCATTGAAGTCCAGTTCACGCTTCTCCAGAGTTCCCCCTCCAGAATTCGAGGAGCTATCCTGTAGTCCCGATCCACCCGCTCCTCCGGAAGAAGAGGCTGCCATGCAGTAGATGTCCTGGGCATCCTGGACGATCAAGGCATTATCCGCCACATAGGCGGTGAGGGCCTGAAGAAACTGACACCGACAGCTCCATTGATTCCGGCCCAAACTAATAGACCTCAATCTGGTGCCAAAGTGGGTGGCGTGCATCTGCCAAATGGGCAGGGTGACCAGACGATTACCATCGATGCGGATAAGCTCCAAGGCGGCCAAAGGAGCCAGGGTGGCATTTTCAATAGTAGTCAGCTGATTATTCTGCAGATACAGCTCCCTCAAGGCCGAAAGCTGCTCGAATTCGTAGCCATGCAGAGTGCGCAACTTGTTGTCCGCCAAATGGAGCAACTGCAGCGAGGCCAGGCTGGCAAAGGTGCGATTCTGGATGGCCGCCACCTGGCTGCCATTGACGTAGAGCGCTCTTAAATTCTTGCGACCGATGAAGGCATGGTTCTTGAGCACAGGGAAATTGTTGCCATCTAAATAAACGACACTTGAATCCATGGGAACGCGGCGAGGCAGCTCCGTGGTTTGCTGGCCACCGCAGTCGACCACATTGGTGGACCAGATCTGGTCGTGGTAGCAGGTGCAGTTGCTCGGGCAGGTCATCTCGCAGTCGCAGGCATCGAAGTCGCAGCAGTGACACAGGGCGAAGCAGTGCGACTCGTAGCGGCAGAGGAAGTCCTGCGGACGCAGCTGGCTCAGAGGACGCACTGCAGCACCTCGGACATGCGGCATCACGCACTCAATGTTGGCCATGTCCATTACCCGCGGATGCTGACGGGTGGTCAGGTTGTTGATCCGCTGCAGCCAGTCCATGGTGCAGTCGCACTCGAAGGGATTGCCACCCAGGTAGAACTCAGGCAGAGGCTTGGGAGCCACCACTGGAGCCACTCGCAACTGCTGCAACTGCAGCTTACTCAGCTGATTGGCATACAGATCCACCCGGGCCAGATTCGCCTTGTCCACAAAGGCATTCGGCTGCACATTGCCAATCAGGTTGTTGTTAATGAACAGCAGCTCTATGGTGTTCGGTATCGACATGGGTCCAATTTCCGTGATGCGGTTGTGCGAGGCGTCCAGAGTCTTCACCCGAATCTCCTCCTGCAGTTTGTAGTAGTTGCCCAGCGCCTCGATGTAATTTCCATGGATATCCAGCCACTTGAGGTTCGACGGGATGAAGGCGTAGTCGAACCACACCAGGTGATTCTCGGATAGATTCAACCACAGCAGGGAGACCAGGGTGGCGAACACGCCATTGATGTCGGCCAGGAAGTTTCTGTCCAGTCGAATGGCCTCCAGTTCGTAGTTCTTGTCGAACGAACCCCGCTCGATGCTCTGGATGCGGTTTTTGGCCAGATTCAAAACACTCAAGCGGGGGAGGTCCTGGAACATGCCCACCGTTATGTTGCCAATCTGATTGTCTATCAGCCGCAGACCCGTCAGCTGGTGCAGATTTTTGAAGCTCTGGTTGTCGAAGGTGCGGATCTGATTCTCGCCGAGATCGAGGGTGCGCAACATGGCCAAATCCTGCAGGGCACGCGGCACCTCATTCAGCTGGTTGGAACTCAGGTCCAGTTCCTTCAGATCCGAACAGTTCTTGAATACAGCCGGCTCCACCACGCTAATGAGATTGTTGTTCAGCGTGAGCTTGGACAGCACATACAGTCCGTTGAATAGTTTATCGTCCAGGGTGTGCAGGCGATTTTCGGCCAGGTTGAGGGTGTGCAGATTGTACAACGGCAGAAAGGCATTATCTTCGATGTGACCTATCGAGTTATTGCGCAAATTCAGGATCTGCAGGAAGTACAGCTCCTTGAAGGTGCGGTAATCGATGCGGGTCAGAGCATTATGGGCCAGATTCAGCACAATCAATCGGATGAGGCCGGCGAAGGTGGTGTTGTCCACGTGATTGGAGGTCAGCTGGTTGCCGGACAGATCCACCACCAGCAGCTGCTCCAGCCGATGGAACAGTCCCTTGGGCAGTTCGTAGAGCTCGTTCTGCTGCAGGTGAATCTCGCGCAGCTCCTTGGAGCCAGCGAACAGCCCCTCGGGCAGCGTCTCCAAATGGTTGTTGCTCAGGTTGACTATCCGCAGGGAGGCCAAACCGGCGAGGGCTTCACCCGAAAGCTCCGACAGATTGTTGTGCGCCAGATTCAAGTGTTGCAATCTCCGGAGCCGCGAGATTCCCCAGCTTTCGCTCACGGACCGCAGCTCATTGTGACTGGCGTCCAGGACCTGCAGCTCGCTGCCAGCACTTCCGGTGGAGCCCGCTCCGCAGTTCATGTCCGCGAAGCCCAGCTGCTCGGCGGTGCGAATCCGATTGCGGGTGAGATTGAGCACCTGGAGATTGCCCACCGGGCAGAGGAAGCCAGCGGGCAGCTGGCGCAGATTGTTGTCGCCCAGATCCAGTTCGGTCAGTTGCTTCAGGCCGACCAAGGAGTCGGGGAAGAGCTCCAGGGACCTCGTCGGACCCCATTCGCTGTTGTGGGTGCTCAGGCGCAGCGATTTCAGGGTGCCCAGACCCTCGAACGCGTTGTTGGGCAGCTGGAGAAGCTTGCAGCCGTCCAATCGCAGACCCTCCAGGGTTTGCAATCTGGCAAACACGGCCACCGGCAGCGAGGACTCGAAGAGGTAGAGTTCGCTGCACTGGATGGTCAGCTGGCTGCTGCCATCGGCGCCCTGGAGATCCAGGCCCGGCTGTCGCTCGATCAGGCGCAGGGCGCAGTGCACCGAGCTGGTGCCGTTGTAGGACCAGGAGCACTGGTTGGCCGGTCCGGAAGGTGAGGCTGGCACTGGTGAGGCCACCGGCACGTTGGACAGCAGCGAGGAGTAGTCGCCGGACAGCGAGACCGTGGCTGCGGCTCCTGATCCGGCGCCCAGCATGGCATTCGCATTCGACTCGCTCTCCTTGGGCGCCAGGGAAGCTCCGGTTTCGAGGATGCTACTCCAGGACAGCCCCAGCAGGAGCAGCAGGATCGCCGCCATGGTTGGGGTCTTGTGTGGGGTGCGTAGAGGGGACCTAGGGTATCTGTATCTCGCAGATACTCCGAAAAGGGTTTTTCACGTTTTTTCTTTGTGGATTCGATTTCTCACTCTTGGTCAATTGACATTTTTTCTAGCCACTGTTTTCTTTCACTAAGCGCACATTTTAAATGGGTGTATTTTTCGTATTTTTCCTCGACTCTCGATTTAATTTCTCTTTCACTTGTTCTGTTTCTCTTCTTTCTTTTCAGAATTTCCAGCAAGTTAACTCTGCGATTTGCGATTTGAATTGTGCGTGGCCCACACGTCCGAACCGTACGGCACTCGCACTCGAACTGTTTTCAGGTTTGCCACAAACTGACGGTCGCAGCTCGAGTTTGCTTTTGCCGCTGCCACGGATGGCAAAGTATCTCGCGGATACGAGCGCCTCAACCGAGCAATGGCGCATGAGCCCTGCTCTCCGCTCTCCGAATCGAGCGAAAAGAGAGACATTCTAGTTGCATTTACCGCCGCCGCTTGGGAAAATGGCGCCACTGTTGGTGAGAGAATCGGGGAAAATGAGAGAGAGAGCTGTTTGAGTGAAAGAGAGACGTTTGAGTGAGAAGAAGTCGCTGTCTGAATTTGTGAATCGAACGTAAACATTGACTGCGAGCAAATAGCAACTTGAAATTCAATTGGGAATAAAATTGCTTTTGTCAATAAGTAGTTATCGCATAAATCAACAATTACCCGTAAATTAATTAATATTAAAGGCTTAAAGGGATAGTCATGACTGCGATTTCGCGAGGTTTAGCACACATTTTTAGTTTTTTCATAATTTTTAAGTCATCTAAACATAGTTGAATCTATTTTATTTTTCAAATTAAGTATATTATTTTCCATGTAAATAAGTCTTAGGAATAAGTCTTACAAATCCCTAAAAGTAATATTTAATTTTCTGCTTTGTGTTTACTTACTTTCATAAAAAAATGAATAAAACAATCATAATTTCGTTTTGAATTATTATCGAATTTCACATTTAAACATTTTCCCCTTTCAAGCAGTCATTTTTAAATTATTACCCAAACAAACTTCACAAAACAATTTAAATTCCTGACTCTTGTTTACCGCTCTCGAACTCGCTCATCCAATCTCCCGTATCTTGCATCTCTCATATAAAATCTCTCTCTCTTCTCTTTTACTCAATAGTTTAACCAGAGATTCTCGCAGAACTACTCCCCGTGCCCACCGAAACCTCCGCAGCCTCCGAAACCCTCCTCAATCCGTGAAGATTGTTATTGTTACCATTAACTCACACGCGCCGCCAACAGCAATCGCCGCATGCATATCCGTCGGATACTTTTCCCAGAGTTCTGCATCTCGGCATCTTCTAATTGCCGCAGCTGCAGCTGATAATCAAGCGGCATGCCATTTTGTCAACGCTAAAAGATGTTTAACACATTGCCCCGATCTTTTGGACTAGATGGATATCCACTATCCAAAAGATACGAAGAGCGCACTGCGAGATGCAGCTATTTATAGAGTGCGATTGTTTAGACAATGGACTGCAGTTCGTGTTTAGACAATCCGGGATACTTGGGAGCTGGCTGTCTGAGGCCAAGGCCGCCTGGAGAAGTTCTCGAGTGGCGAGTGGTGAATCATTTGCCACCTCTGGAGTTGCGTACGCAAAATGTAATATTTATGAATGCTGCTGCCACCCATACTACACCGACCATAAAACATTCTTTTCGGGGCCCCCGGAACTTTTGTTTGTATGTGGAAGTTTCTCTAATGCATTTATTATTCATAAGAACTTTTTCATTAGGAGGCTGGGGCGGCACACGAGCCGGGGAAGACAGGTCCTAGTGCCGAAACAAATGTCCAAAGTGGTGGAGGGGGCAAGAACCCCCCAGTTCGACCCAAATCCCACCCCATTCCTAGGGTGTCCATCCTCAGTGACAAAGAGAGCGAATGTAACTAAGTTAGTACCTTTGACTTGAGCTCCAACTTGACTCCCTGCAAAAGACACAACACACAGCACTGGCATTGTTTTTTCGAGGTGTCGGAAACTTGTTCAACTTGTTTTCATTTTACTATTTTCCCACATCTCCTCAGATGAGTGTGAAAATGCTGGGAAGCTAAAATAGCAGCACATGTGTGTGAGTGGCTTCTGGGAATGCTGCAGGACACTTTGTTATCGACCTAGAGTCCTGTACTTACAGGGGTATTAACTCGGCACGGAGTAGGAAAAGAACTGTAGGATGGATAACGATGGCGGAGTATTAATCGGAGAGAAATGTTGTGTGGTAAAATTTCAATTTTTTCTAAAATATTTTTAAATTAAAAAATGGTTATTGGAAAAAAATGTATTCCAAATAGATTTCATTTTTTTTTTCGTACTAAACGATATTTTTAATTATTTTAATCAAGCTGTAAAGTGTTGAAAACATATTTTAGATAATAATTTTATTTTTTATTATATGGTTTCTTTATCTTCTTTTTAATGATGGTGTAAAACAACGAAACAAAGGCATTTCCTATAACTACGGGGCTATCAGGGAACTCTGTAGTTCATGCAGGCGCTTATCTCCTGCGATGCCACCATGAAGCCATGTTTCTCTCTGAGATGACTTAATGTTTGGGGGCAATGTTCGGAATGTATTTATAATATTTATGTCTGCACCGGGGCCAGAGGTTATCCCTCTGATATCTCTCATTTCCAATACTGTATTTCGATTTATAGTGCGCAATTTAAATATGCATTAAATTGCGTGATAAATTGTGAGCTGATTGTTGGAAGCGCAAGTCGTTGATGTATGCATAAATAATTAGAGAGCGACAATAAAATGAGTTGGCAAAGTTTAATTACCAAAGTGCGACGAGCAGGGCCCAACTTTTCGATTAGTGGGTCGGCCAAAGTCGAATTCCATGAACCATTCTGTTATCAGGCTCCGGCCCCCCGATGCAGGGTCAGTCAAAAGGGGGAAAATTTGTAGTTTTTGGGGGATGGGGAATGAGAGATGGCAATCCCGAACAAATTGTGAAATGGCAAATGCTGCACAGACCGATATAAAATATGCCGGCTGGACACAGGATTTCTGGCCAAAAACTGAACTAAAAACAAATTTCTGGTGCCGCAGCAGCAGCTGAAATTGACAGTCCGACCGAATTGGATCGGGTGAGAAGGATTCCGAGGATTCGGGAGGATGGAATTGGAATCGAGGTGGTTGTCGCACAGTGGAACAGCTTTGGCCTTTTATTTTCCTGTGTACCATCATCATGTGAGCCCTATCCGCACCGAATTGAGGGAGCTTTTGACAAAGGAAACTCCCTTTTGCCTCCTTTTTGTTCATTAACGGACTCTTTTTGCAGGCAAAAATGCAGCATGAAATGAAATCGCCCTGATTGATGAAATTCTCCAAATTGCATCTACTCGCCTTTATTGATGGCTTTTCCATGACAAACGCAACATGACAACAAACTTTGTCCGGCAAGTTAATCGGATCAATGTTGGCCAAATGCAGGTCGTTATTCGGCTCGTTTGCGCCCAAATTTGAATTAGAATGCATGCGATGGAAATAGCAGGACTTTAAAAGCGGAGGTATGTTATCGGTTAAATCTGCAGATAGTTAAGAGCTTTGCATTAAGGGTAAACTAACAATTGAATTAATGTACTCAAAATTATCAACAGAATTTGACTTACTTTGACTTTCAGACTAAATGGTTAGTTTATAAAATAGTTAGATTGTTTATTGTTTGAAGAGTGTTGGGAAATCTTTAGGATAATAGATACAAGCAAAAAAGCCACTTTTCCGATTGTCATGCTATATAGATCATAATTTAAAAACTGTTTTTAATAAATTAGCTAACTAACATTGATAAACTATTTTTATGAAAACTTAGAACCATAAAGACTTCTATAAAATTGTTTCACTTCATTCAAATAAATATCCTCAAACACAATTATATATTTTTAACGAAATATTAAATATGTTTTAGAAACAACTTTCATACAATTAGTTTAGTTCAGTCCACTTAGTTCCCCAAACAAAGTATCGTTGTCGCACTACACAACTCAGTTTTGTTCGGGCGATAACAGGATGCCTGGATCTTGTTGGCAGCTCCCCGGTTCACCGACAAGTGTGAAGATTGGGGGCTGCTGTGGAGTCCGCTGCTCACTTGTTTGCTGCTCCCATGATATAAATTGCACAGCTGAGCGGGCAGCATAATCGCATGCAATTATGCCGCACACAATCACAACAGGCCAACAAACCAACCGACCAACCAGCCAGCAAGAAGTTTGCAAAACTCGCCGGGCAACTCAACTCCACTAAACTCAACTGGGCTGGAAGTGGAAGTGGCAGTGCCAACAAGCTGGCACTAACAGGTGAGTGGGATGGGCAGAAGACTCTGAATTGGCAGGAGGAGATTGAGCACAGGAGGAGGTTTTTAGGAGGAGGAGATGGAGGAGGTGGTGCCCACTATATGAAATCCCACTCCTCTTTTCTCTTCAATCGGGAACCAAACAATGCAAGCGAGCTGCAGTTTTTGCTGCCTCTGTTTTGTTTGTTGCACAATCTTGTCTAACTTTGTTTAGTCATCGCCTGGCTCTGTGGCTCTCCAGCTCCTCTAGTTCAGGTTCTGAGCCAGTTTTCTGCCTTCTGTTGACTTTCGCCCCTCATGGTCATAGTCCTGCTGCCGCTGCCTGATTTTTGAGACCGCGTTTGCTTGGCCATATTTTGTTTCTTGTGCCGCTTCCCTTTTGCTCTCGATGATTGCAATTGGATGCACAAGCGCAGCGCCTCGTGTGCAGTTTTGATCTATTGATTGTTTTTGCCCCACACTAAACCGAAATGCCTTGCCTGGCTTTCCGATTTCCGCATCCTCCTTTCATGGCCTCTCCAATCCGGTCTCGAGCGTAAGCAAATATTGCATTTTGCGTTTTCCAATTAAACTTGAACAAGCGCCGAGCAATCGAAGCCGGACTCGAAGCCTTTTGTCTCCGGGGATTCCGTGTGATGACTGTGCGAAGTGTCGAATGTGAATCGAGACAGTGTTGCAGAGTGCTAAACGATTCTTGCCAAGAAAAATGCAAAAAGGCCACCGGAAGTAGGAAAAGCTTAATGCTGAAAAAGTTCCTACCGCAAATGGACCCTCTTCAATTTTTAGGAAATTGGTTTTCTGCTCTAATCGACTAAAATATTTATTTTATTTAGCACTTATACCAACATGATTTATATAAATAATAATTATTAAATATCCCAAGAAATATGTAAACATTTATATAGGCTCATCGGGGTTTTTCTATGCCATTTACATACTTTTACTATAAGAGTCAAGTGCCCGTTGTAAGAACACATTTAATTGTTACTACATTTCTCTTC